GAGGGTACCTGGGGTTCAGCATCTTGCCCACAGGCACGTCAACAGCTGCAGGAGCTGGGGAGCGAACAAGTAACCTTCGAAATAGGAGACAATCTAAGCAGCTGTGAAAGGAAAGCTTTCTGAGGGCCTCGGGTCAGAAAGCAGTGAGGAGCGTAAGGGATCCATACAGGAGCTGAACAAGTAATCTATTGAAAAAGTCGACTTTTATTCATTCAAAAAGTCTTATTTATGTCACCTGGAAAAATTCATTTGTACCAACTGTAGTCCTTGTATCCACCTGTGAATGATTTCTGCTTTGCTGACGTTGAAGTTTAAATTGTGCAGAAACATCCAGCTTTGTTTTTGCACACATAATGATTTCTTTTACTGTTTGAGAATAAGCAGGAAGAAAAAATCACAGATATGAAAAAAAAGTAAAAATTATGAAGGAATTTCTTGCTACTGTTCATGCTGCTCATTGGGACACGTCATCATCACAGAGCCAACTTTGCAAATCAACAAGTGTGCTGTTAAAAAACAAAAACAAGTATGATGCAAAGTGTATGTGTGATTTTTTTCAAACCTGCAGAAACTGATGTTTTTCGCCTGCGGTTTGTTTTTTGACAATATGTGATTTTTTTTATTCAGGGAAAAGTCTAACTTTGATTTTTCCTCTAAAGTTCTGTAAATAAACTTGTTTTGTGATGTTTGAAGTTTTAATGCAGATTAAAACTTGGATTCTTGTCAATCGTTTTACTCCCGTTTATCATAACTGCAACAATTCTGCACCAAAATCGGACAAAAACTCTTTGACCAAGTTTAGATGTGCAAAATGTCCCCACGTAGGACAAACCAAGTACAGGGAATTCAATTAGGCAAAGTGGGAATATTACATTTATTATCCGCACACACACAGCAGACTATTCAAACATTTCATTTATCACTTCTTACACAGCTTTCATCAATCACAAAACTATTACAAGGAGTCCTTTGTGGCTGGTCAATGATGACTCCCCCCTCACTAACTGACACTGTGAAACATTATTTTCTGCACAATGTTTGCATCCCTGGAATATTATCTTGAATTATTTGGTTGTTTAGCATACTAAATTGATTCCAGTGGCCATTTTTCCTAGTTTGGAAGAACCAAAAAGGATCAGCATGTGCAGGAAAACAAAACGAGGATATGTCAGACTGTCGCTTGCAGCACTAGAATGACTTTGCTGTGATTTCCTGCATCTGTGGTTCACGCCAAGAAGGTCAAGGTGACAAATGAGAGAAGAAATAAAAGTCGGGCCTCTTACTTAATGATGCCAAAACATGACTCGTAGCTTGGAGGGCCAATTTCTGGGTAAAAAATAATAAAAATAATCGTGGCTTACAACAAACCCCATGTTCATGTTGCAGCTGATAAGTGAATATCAAAACTAGGACGATCAGGTGGTCGTGTCACTTCCTGTATGCTTTTCTAGAAGCAGCTCAGTGACACGGGTGATGATGTCTGGATGCACCAGGCAGTCTAACAAGTCGTTAGTGGTTATTGTTGTATGCGTTGATGCCTTATAATCCTCTGACAGGTTCTTTGATGTCCCGTCTGCACAGTCACATTCTCTACACCGAGTTGAACCAGCGTTACGTCCACGTGTTCTCTGATCGAGTCTGACAGCAGCTGCAAACCTGGTTGTCTGTGCTGGATCGGAGCTGACAGCGCAGTCCTCTTGAGATCTGACTGCGCCGTTGCTGGAAGAGTTGACCTCTACATCTTCGGGAGTCGTCCTCCTCAGTTCTTCCTGACAGCGTACAGAGATGAGATGTGGTCCGTAGGGAATACTGAAGGGTGCGCAATTCCTAACCCGATCGCTATTTTTCTTGATTTGCCCACCCGAGTCCCGCTTGACTCGACAGGTGTCTCGCAACTCTGGGCTCAGTTTGCTGTGGCAGGAACTCCTTTGTTTCTGAGCCCAAGCTCTCACCGCCAGGTTCAGATACTGCATATTGTCATTATGGGATGTTACTTCTTCCTATAAAAACAAAAGAAAAACAGAGAGAAAGCTGGAGACAGCTGCCAAGAGATAAACAGTGTACAGCCTTTAAGATTACAAAATGAACTGCCTGAATTTTAATTGAGCGCAATCTGCTAAACAGATTCAGACAAAGCAATAAAGAAAAAA